AGCAAGGCGGGGGGGGTGTTTGGGGACGCGGTGTAAAGCACGCGGCAACAAAAAACAAACTCCGACAAGGAACCACACACACACAAAAAAAAAAAGCATGTACACTCCATGTCCACATAAAGGGCCCAACAAACCGTGGTTGGTTGTTGGGACTGGGTGAGAACACGAGCAGCTCGACGGAGATATCCCACACGGCAACAAAAAACAAACGCCAACAAGAATTAATAGTGCGTAACGTGGAGGGGTAAAATACACCGTGGTTGGTCATTTGAACTGCGAGAAAAAACAGGAATAGTTCTCGGTGAAGAGATAGATATCATGCCACCAAAATCCTTTCCTGACAGAGAGATTCGAAACTAGCGAAAATGCTAGAACCAGTCGGCAGCAAATGTACTGTAGTACATGACTCCGTCAACCAAAACGTGTTCAGATACAGAACTCCTTCTCCTCACTTCGGGAAGGCCGTTCGTGCCGTTACTTGGACTACTCAAATCAAGCAGACCCTCACGGGTTGACCGGCACACATGCACGGCACCGCTGATCCACCCGGGCTGTTTGTAGATTCTCGCCAACTGCCAGTAAAAAAATCGGCTTCCTTCTCTAAAACCAACACCCAAACACACTAACGACGTTTCTCCTCCCCCCACCTGCTCCATGGCGCGGGGGATCATGCCCCTCATGTCGCCCGCGCCGCTGCCCTGCATGGTGTGCGTCTTGCCCGAGCCGGTCTGGCCGTAGCTGAACAAGCACACGTTGAAACCGTCGAGCGCTGATTGGACGAACTCCGACACTTCCGTGAACACTTCCTCCTGCCCGGCGCTGCTCGAACAAGGGAAACGAGACAGACAGGCACAAAAAAAAAAGATCATCCCATCGATTTCTAGAAGTGTGGAGTACCCTCTTTGGGCTATTAATGGTAGAAGTGTGTACCCTTTTCGGGCTAGAAGTGAGTAAGTACCCTTCATGGGTAGTTTGCCTATGACGAAAGGCGCCCGAGTCAGCACGGACGTAATAAGGTACTGAGTAGAGACCGGAAGCGATCATTGCTGTGAAAACAACCACTACAATCGACAGCAGCAGCAGCAGCGTTAGACGCAGGAGCACAGGATGGATGCAGGTTGTTAACTGGGTGGCACGTTTTGCTGAGCGGTCATTGGTGCACGTTTGCCTGCGACCATTGTCCAATTCTGGGGATGAAACTCCGCACCCACGCCTTCAAATTAATCCCTTAGCTAGCGGAGATATATCCTGCATGACGCTTCATTATCACACCCCTTGTTGACGTTTCTCTGCCTTGATTCCTCCGCAACGGTAAAAAAAAACATCATCTCTCATACTACATGCCAACGGGTGCTTGCCCCTCAAGAACTATCATCTGGCCTGCTTTCCCGTTGCGGGGCAAGCCACACACCAACAAATGAAACCGCACACACGGACGAAACCAGCAAAGCGCCCGACGCATCTCCTGAACTTAGAATACCCGCCAGAGGGCGCCGCTTGCTCATGACCTGGCCTACTGCACTCGTTTTTCTATTTTCGCGGGACGATCCGGCACACCAAAAAAAAAGAACGCACACCACCAAAAAACAGAATTCCAGAAACAGACCCCGAGAGCGAACAACCCACCTGGGCGGGAAGCACTTGTCGAACGAGAACGACTGTGCCTCCGGCGGAAGCTCCTTCCCGTTGTCCCCGATAAGCCTCTTGGACAGCACGCAGCCAACCCCGTCGCCCTTGCCCACGACGGCCGGCACCTCTTCCGGTCCGACGCCATCTGAGGGCAGGAACGGCCGCACTCGCGCAAAAACGCGAACGTTTCCTCGGAGTTCCTACAGGAAGAGGGGGTTCGGGTTGGGTTGGGTTGGGGAGGCGGAAATAAGGCGTGGGTCCCCAGATCACGGCCTTCAGCAACACTTTCTGTTCAGTCGCGCTGGGAGACTGACGTCTTCACATCCATCAGCCGGTTACCGCGGGTGACGCCAATCCAAGAAACACACACAAACACACACACGCACACACTCACTCAGGGCCCCAGATCATCGCATCCTTCAGCAGCACTTGTTATTTGCAGCCAAGCCGACAGACCGGCGTCTTTCTATTCATCAACCCATAGGCGAGGTCGATGCTATTAACAATAAGAACACACAAACAGACCTGAATGAGATTGTGCATCTTCCTCCTTTGCAGCTCCCCCTCCAGGACCTTGGCCTCGAGCTCCTCCACCTTAGCCGACGCGCCGATGGCAACGTTCTCCTTTTCCTTCGACAGAGCTTCCAGGCGGCGGCGCAGGACCTCCAGCTCTCCTTGGGCCCTTTAGTAGTAGTGGCGGTAGTAGGAGGGTGGTGGGGGGCGTACTCTTATGTTTTGCATGCCTTAGCGGTTAGACGGTTGACCGCCCGTCCTCGAGAGGACTGAGCATTTAGTAAGGGGGTTGGGGTTATTGTGATACATACATAAACCAACATACCGTGCGATACGTTCGAAATGAGCAAAAGCAGAGAGCAGCAAGTATTGCTATATTAGCGACGCATTCGACATCAACAAGCAGGCAGCAGTAAGATTGCGATACCATCCATGTTTGATACGGGCAAGTAAAGAGCGGCAAGTACTGCGATATCGGCGATACCTTCGACCCTAGCAAAAGCAGAGAGCAGCAAGCATTGCGATATCAGCGATACATTCGGCATCACCAAAAGCATACAGCACACCCGCAGATATCGGAACGCTTTCTTGTTGTTGTGCACAGACAACAACAACTCCAGCCGCCAAAGATGGTAGGGCCCTCTCCGCTTTCGGCGGCACAGCATCATCACCCGAACAGGCCACTGCTACCAAGCTAGTACAGACAACGCCCGCCCTTAAGAACCGCTAGTTTGCGCCGGAGAGGCCCAGCCTCGGCGTTCCTCTTGCGGGCTACAAATGACCGCTACATAGGCCGTAGCAGTTCTTAACTGGGCTCACAACTTAGGGAAAGGTGCCCCCAAGTCTCTTGTGTTCGATAAAATGTTGAGCATTACTTCTTAACTCCAAGTGTCGAATTCTTAAAACGTTACCGCCAACTTCTTAAGAACGGGGGGGGGGGGTTACCGGTACCCCCCGGCTTTACACATCACCTGCTCATCTCCTCAAAGTGTCAAACTTACCGTCAGGTTCTTAAGCGCGCGGGGGCTATCGGTACCTCCCCGGCTTTACACATCACCTGCTCATCTCCTCGAGCTGCTCGGCGTTCGTCTGGGCATCCACCACGGCTGCCTTCAGGCCGCGGACCTCGGCCTCCAGCTCCAGCTGACGCTCCTCCGCGACAACCAGCTCCTCCCGGAGGGCGGCCTTGTCGGCCGTGGCAGCCTGGCGAGGCGTGGCGTTGTTGCGCATCATGATGTGTTATTTGTGTATTGTGTATTATTAATAATAGTACAAGTTTGTATTGTTGTAGGGGGTGGGTACAGCATGGGCAATGGGGAGTATCATACGCCGTCAGAGCTATTTTTTGTCGGGCACCAGCTAAAACGTACCACCACCAACATCAACAACATCAACAACAACAACAACAAACAAACAAACAACAACGTAACCGACAGCAGCAACAACATTTCGGGCGCACTCCTGTACCCAACGCGGGCCACGGGCTTCAGACCAAACTCCCCAACAACCAAAACCACCGGCCACCTCCAACCAAAGGGAGCTCGCAACTCCCAACCAACCTGAGCGCGAATCTCAGACTCCGTCTCGAGCTTGACCCTGGCGACGCGCTCGGCCTCCATCTCCTTGGAGTGCTGCTGCTGTACGGCAGCCGTCTGTGCGGTGGTGGAGATCCTCTCGCG